ATGAGGAGCCATCCGGAATGACAGGTAGTACAAATGCATCAGAAAGTGACACACAAATCAGTGGTAGCTTGTGGAGGGCATTGCTGCCTGCCTAAGGAGATCTCATGGGTGTCAGAAAGCCAGTGAAAGGACATGGTCAGGTGCATGTCCTTGACATCCATCACTGGAAGGGGTGAGCTGTGCCAATGGTTTTTGATTTACCTCAGGTTTCCTCGAAATAGAACTCCAGGCAACAATTAGGTGCTGATGATTTCCTGAGAGGTACTGTCCAAGACAGCGGGAATGTGGGGTAAAGACATGCAAGCAGGAAAGACTAGAGAGCAACAGAAGGTCATGGGTTACTAGGCTGGTCACTGTTTCCTGTGCTGCAGAGATGCAGATGATTGCTGAGCAGGTACACCCTCTGGATATGGCAGTCGGGTAGGATGCAATCATGTTTTGGAACAGCCCATGAGAGGGAAGATGGTATGGGAAGTTCTCCTCTCATCTCCATTCCACTGATCTAAATTTACCCCACTGGGAGAATACTTCTGCACTGTCACCCAGCTTCCTGGGCAGTTGATCTGGGCACCAGATCTTTTTGCCACGGTGCAGTTTTGCATGCAGAACCTAAAAAATCCACACAGGTGCCTGCTTGGCCTAGATGAACAGCAGTAGCCCATTTGGTTGAGGGTAAGAGTGTTCTCCTAGAAGTAGAAGACTCGGGAGAAACCCACAGCCATACCACTGGCTTTGAAAGCCCAGGAGACATGGCTTCCGGAGAATCCAGGGAGGTGCCTCAGGGGTGTCAGATAAGTTTTCGTACCACACAGGAGGAACCCGCAACATGAAACAGATATAAAGGGAGTTATTCTGTGATAAGAGGAAAGTCTCCAACCCCCTTTTCACATTTCCTCCCATGGTGACTTTACAGGCATACCCCAGTGTGCCTGAAAATACAATTTGAGATCAGATCAGATTAGATCAGATTAGATTAGATTCCTTCCCGCACCTACATTCAGATTTCTTTAGTAATGCATCTGAGGAGTAAGAGTTTATTGTCCATATGATAAACTTCTCCTTTTAGGTTTTTGGTTTGCGGAATTGCAAAGAAAGGTGTAGCAAGTGTAAACAGGGAGAGACTCCTAACAAATCATGGGATTTGGGATTTTTGAAAATTTAAAGTTCATCTTAGTTCAATTAACTCATAATTGCAGATGAGAGAAGTAAAATTCAAGAGGACGAGTTGTCTTGAAAAGGTCATACAACTAATTAGTGAAAAATGAAGGGCTAGAACCAAGGGAATCTGACTCGCTCTTCCCTCTGTAAATGCAGTTTTGGAGCTCAGGAGTGTGTGTCAGTGGTTTTTGAATTTTGCATTTTCACTCTAATAACATTATAAATCCCTGTATGCCAATACTGACCCACCAGATGACCACATAGGACTTCTGCATGTGGAGTAGAGTGAATCATTTCTTTGTGCTGGACTTAACCACGCAAGTGAGCTGAAGAGAGGGACCCTGCCCCGCGGATGGGTACCATGGTCCCACTGCCATAGACTGTGTCTGCAGTGTGTCTCCAGTGTTCTGTCTTCACATATTTGCTCTGAAGCTACAAGGGGGTGGAAAATGCTTTCTCTCCACTTTGATGCCCATCACTGAAGCAGTAATGCAAGCTTTATTCTCAGGTGAACAATTTGCTTCATTATAGGTCATGTTTAAAATGTCATTTTATTCCTGCCGAGAGTTTTTAGATGAATTGAAGTTCTGTACAACCTCAACTAAAACCTTGATGTTTAACATTCTCTCACCCAGCGTATTTATATAAACCATACTTCCTATCTCAGAATTATGAAAATCAAAATTCTGAAACACTGAAGACAGGACAGGACCTGGGATTTATGTTTTTTATTGGTGCAAGTTAGTGGAATAGAATAATGAGATGTATTTGGCTGTGTTGGTACCTGCGTCTCACACATTTTAATCACTTTCATCCCATTACCTTGTTCGTCTCCTTCCTTTCGTGCCCTCTCCCCTTAGCTGGTCCTCTGCCTGTACTCAATAAGGAAGTTGTAGTCGCTGTGGAAAAGTATTACAGTTCCTATAATTCATATTGCTAGCTTAAACTTCACTAGTTCACAGTTCTTAAAATTTAATTTGTACAACTTAGTCTTCTTATATGTTCCTATAAGAACTCTCCCCATGCTGGAGAGAGCTGTACAAAACCATGTTCATGCTTTTTCCTTTTCATTGGGAAATCCATAACTAACAGCCTGCTTCATACATGTATATACCTAAAGCATTAAGACAAAAACAACACCATTCTATACTTGGAAATTGAGATCATTTTCCTGTCAAAAAGAAAAGTCCAAATAGTACCCCCTCTGAGAACTGCTGCTAAAAACATAACTTCCTCCTACGAGGCATGGTCACCTAGTGACAATCTGGTAGACAAAAATGCTTACTGTGGATTCCTGATTCAAGGGATCAGGTTCTGACACTGCCGACAACTCTGTGTGTCCACGAAGTCAGTAACCTTTCTTCATTGGCAAATTAAAGATGGCAGGGATCACAAATTCTTACGCCTGTCCAAGCCAGGTAGAGTAATTAAGTGAAATATACCATCTGTCACTAACAGGCAGCCCTGAGGACAGGGACTAATTCAGAGAACATTTGTCCTGTATTTAAAATTACTGTATCTATCATCCAAACTTTTATTTAGCACTATCAGCAAAGACAGCAAATCTGTGGGTCAGATTCCATCTGAAAGAGCCAGCTGCAAATTCCTGGAGCAAATCATCCTTCGCACACCTTCCCGACTGCTAAGGCAAGGCCATGAGCACAGGGCAGGACGCGCCATAGAAGGAAATCCTCCGGAAGGCTTGAGGGCGTGTTAGTGTTTAAGAGTGTGACAGCATCATACAAAAGAATAAGCAAGGAAGGGCCTGGGAAATACATGGCCAAAGTGAGTGGAGATAAGAAAACAAAAGAAAAAAAAAAAACCAAAGTGAGTGAAAGTCCCTTCCTGGTCCCGACTGTCTCCAGCCGACAGTACTGGTGTTTTACAATCCTGTTCAATCCCCTAGTAGCACACTCCTGGTCCAAGCGAGGAAGTCATTCGCTTCTCCACAGGGACAGGCCAGGCACTGTGCCCCGTGCTGGAGAGAGCTGTACAAAACCATGTTCATGTTTTTTCCTTTTCATTGGGAAATCCGCAGAAGTGGCTGATGCTCACGCTTGTGCTTTTTTGCTCCCAATTTTTCCCAGGTGTTATTGATAAGAAGCTAATTCTGATTACTATTAGAATATTAGATAAGGATCTCGTATGTGTTTCCCCTGCTGAGCCTTTTGGAAGACGGCATGGGAGTAGTTGAAATGGGTGCGGTGTGAGTGGAAAGGGTGAGGTTCTGGATGTACATTCCCACCTGGAGGGCGCTTTCCAGACTGAGTGCAAACTCTCGCCTGTCCCTTTCCCAGTCACAGTTAGCCTTGAGCACACAGACCCCGTGCCACCCACCCGGCTGTCACAGGAGGTCCTCCCTTCACCACAGTCTCCTCCCTCGTTTGCGTCCGCTCCTGGCCATTGCTCACTGGTATGCACAATACATATTAGGCTTTAGTTCAGTGAACTTAACTACAGGCTGTGGGACCCAGTCCATGGCATTTAACTAAAATGCAAAACAATAAAGAGGCAGAGTGAAGAAGGAAAAGTAACAAAATTTAGTCCATCCCCAGTAAGTTAACTACTTTAGATATGTATGTTGGCTACGGTTATCTTGTAAGAGGCTCTTTCCTGTGTTAAATGCCTTTATTCACATATGCCACCCTGCTCTCTGGTTGTTGGTCTTGTCACCGTGTTCTCTGTCCTTTCAAAATCAATTGCCCTTTCTTCCTTTCTTCCTTCCTTCCTTTCTTTCTCTTTCTCTTTCTCTTTTTCTCTTTCTCTTTCTCATTTTCTTTCTTTCTTTTTCCTTCCTTCCTTCCTCCCTTCCTTCCTTCCTTCCTTCCTTTGTGTGTAGTGCTGGGGGCTGAACCCAGGACCTTTGCACTGAGCTATGTTCCTAACCCTTTTTTATTTTTTATTTTGAGACAGGGTCTTAATAAGTTAGTAAGTTGCCCAGGCTAAGCTCAAACTTGAGATCTCCCTGCCTCAGCCTCTCAAAATACAGAGACTACAAGCACGCATCACACACCTATCAGTGGGTATTTGTATGAAAACAGTTCAAAAGGGTTTTGGCTTGAGTGGCAAATGAAGTGCCAAAAGTTACAAAACCCCTGAGGACATAACACTTGGACCACATTGTTTTCAGGGAATCTGTGGTTTTTTACTTAGATTTCTAGTGTACTGAGTCAACTGCAATAGTTTTCAAAATGTAAAACCGTGATATCAGCACAGGATACATTTTATTTTCTACTTAATAATGGACATGAGTGAAGGGGAGCACCCATTGTTTAAAAAGTGACACAAAAGCCGGGTGTGGTGGCGCACGCCTGTAATTCCAGCACTCGGGAGGCTGAGGCAGGAGGATCGTTGCAAGTTCAAGACCAGCCTGGACTACAAAGTGAGCTCAAGGCCAGCCTGAACTGTGAAGGGAGACCCTGTCTCAAAAAGCAAAACAAATAAAAAATAAAAAGTGACACAAAAGTTCAGACTGTAAGCATTTTCCCTCTCTAGACCCCCTCCCCATAAGTCTTTCCACAAACCACCTTCTCTGTCCCAGTTCCTTAGGCCACCTAACAACAGGAAGTTACACTGCTTTATGAATATGGGGGCAGGGGCTAATAACTGAATTTTAGATTTTTGCTTTATTTATATCATACAGAAAATGTGCAGCTATAACCCTAAGTAATCAGTGTCTGTGTGTCATGAAGAACATCAGCTGACATGAAAGACATATTCTTCTGGTGGCCCAAATAGTAACTCTATGGATTCATTTTTCACATAGCTCTGGGAAGCCCATGCTTCTGCTGTTTGGTGTGGTAAAATCGCCACACTTGCTGATTGAAAACATTTGTTCTTAGGTGCCAGGTTGACCTGTCGGCCCTCAGTAGGGAACAGACGCACAAGTTGGAGTTGCCGTTGGAAGAGGGTGAGGGATACCTGGTGCTGCTCGTCACTCTGACCGCCTCGGCCACGGTCAGCATCTCTGACCTCTCCGCCAACACCCTGGAGGACCAGAAGGAGCGGGAGCAGATACTAAAGAGATACGTACGTACGCAACTCCTCCTTCCCAAGTCCCTTGTGACCTGATGAGGTACAAGCAATGCACCCTGGGGGACAGATGTATTTCCCAGGAGTTGTCTGATCGAAGACTGGGTCACTCCAACCTCACGGCGGCTCTTACATTTCTAGCCAGTGTCTCCAAGCTTGGTCTTCTCCAGAGCCAGTAGCAGAGCAAGCTGTGGGACTTGGATTCTACTCAGTGGTTCTGTCCTGCAGGGAAACTTACACAACATTCCTTTAAAATTGATTCACTGTATTCTGTGTATTTGCAGTTAAGATTTCTTTGTCTTTCCAAGTTTGAAATGAGGTTAATGACACATTAATTAGAAGTGTAGTATTGGAAAAATATTCACAGAAGTGATTTTCATTTTTACTCAGAAAAGCTTCACGTCATTCCTTTAATTTTTTTTTTAAATTGAATGTAAAATGTAATTAAGAAGAACCCTTCTTCTTTTTGATCAACTATGGAGGGGGTAGAATAGAGAGTCCTTAAATTTTACCAAATGCAGTGATTCAAAGCCAGATCTTACTATTTCCCAGCATCCTCTCACGGTACCTTACCCACTGTGTAGTTTTCTTGAATCAACAGAGAGGGGAGCTCTTACTCCACCATTCTCTCTCCATGGAGGCCTGGAAAAGTAAATGCTTCAGTACCCATGAAGCTGGGGGAAAAAAGCTTTTCCACTTAAAATTACAAAGCTTGTATTGTACAATGCTGCCAGGTGTTTAGAAGGCTCCTCTAGACACTCAGCCATGAAACCAAGCTCTGACTAACAAAGAATGGCTTCTTTTAAAAAAATATTCCTATTTGCTGAGTGACATCCTTTCAATAACTGAATTTAATAAAGATGTACCTTATCAGGCTGTGCAGATAACATGAAGTGCTGGTACTAATGCTCTACAATATTCTTCAAACAGATTAGCAGGATGTGCGCTTCAGCAAATTTATTTTGGCTATCTGCACAGAATCAGCTGTCTGCTAATGCTTGTACAACTCCTTGCCAATGGTGTTATCATAAACAGTTTAATAGAGGTGACTTAGCAAGGCTAAACAGTATGTATTTTTAAACCACCTGAGAGCTCAGGGTATTGAGGCATCTTCTAACATATGATTGCAGTTATGAAAATTACTTCAAATTTTGGTATCCACCAAAATGTGGTCTCCTGCTACCAGAAGGAGAACATGAATTAAAACTATTGTGAAGAAATTAGTTGGTCTATCAATATAAAACTCCTTCTAGCTATTATAATGCTGTAGTTAATTGATTACCATTTTGATATTATCCCATATATGAAGATGATACTGCTACCAGGGTAATTAGAAATAAATCCATCTATTATTGATTTTTTTTTCTGGATAGACTTCCTGAAATTGAGCATGCCCACTCAGAATTTGAATATCTGCCTTTCTACCTTATTTGAAATGTTAGTTATTTCAACAAGATCCAAAATATTATGTGGATGGCCCAGCTAATGTTCATATTATATTGTGCTCAATATATTAAAAAGTGAACCATGTTTAAATGTACTTTTTTATAGCCCTGAGTTCCTAACACAGGCTTGCACCTCCCTCTAGAGACTATTGCTAAGAAGCTATGATATGCAGCATAGCACACATGTCATAATTACTCACAGCAATACCAAGACAAAGAGCTATATTTTAGGACTTCACTGTGATTCCTCTTTATTCTACAGATTATGAAATGAATGAATGCTACATCATATCCAAACTATCCCTTGTTTGGGGAAACATATAAAGGAAGCAACTTATTCAAAAAATTATTTACGCGTTTTCCTGTAAGAACATGTATATTTTCAAAACTGACATTCAGCTCAAGGACTTGATTTGGCACTGACCTTGGTTAGCAAAGTAAACGGATTGCCTCTGCTCTGATGTGAAACAGCCCTAAAACATCTCCCTATTGCTGTTGTGGAGCTGCTCGTTGCTAAAAATAAGAGGCCTGCAAATGAAGCAGACCTTCCTGTGTGAGCCATTATTTGATCACCACATTCTGAAAAGATGGCTAATTCCATTTTTTTTCTTTTTTTTCTTCTTTTAGGGGGAGGGAAGGAGGAAGGTCAATAGGGGGCGGGTAGTAATGGGTAGTAGACCAAGAGCGATTGTATGACCTTTTCAGAACGGGTATGCTGAACCCTTGCTCCCCCTTGTCACAGTTTAAAAACCAGAGGAGCTAGTTTAGAGAAGAAGTTGTTAGCATTCCATTTTTATTATGACATTTCACAGTCATCTGATTTAATGTCCCTTGACCGGATTGTCCACCGTGAGACGATGGGCTTGAAATGTTATTTAGAGCATTGATAAAAGGTGAGCAGTTCTAAGATGACAGCGAGTCATAAGGCTGGTGGTGTGACATTAATTTTCTCCATAACAGAGATGGAATAAGACGTCACGGTGACAAGCTGTCAATCAGCTCTGGCCCCTCAGAGCATCTCGATGCCATAGGATGGGGTATTGCCTCTCCCGTAATCGAGCTGAACTGAGCTGCTCTCCCTGACAGCTGCTGCAGCCATACAGAAAATATATTATACAGCCTTTCATTAAAAAAATAAAGAGGACTCCTCTCCAGAGCATTTCAATCTTTTCCCATCTATTGAGGGCTGAACGGATTCACAGCAAATCATAGATTCCTCTGCTATGGAAATTTCTGGCTTCAGAAGTCATGCAGGTTTTGTGGCCTCCTAAAATAACCATAAATAACAAGGCAGAAATAGCTCCCAAAGAAGCATTCCTTATATTTATATTTTTAACCAGATAGGTTTATTCACTTTTTTTTAGTTCTTATAACAATCTGTGCATTACTGGCCTAAACATTTGAAATTTGCAGTAAATTACAAGGTGTCAGCTGACCTGGAGAACAATTAATGACCCCCCGCCCCACTGGGAAGCAGCACCTTAGACCTGAAGCCCCGGAAGGCTGTGTGTCTGTCGGGTGAGCTTACAGAATGAGGGGATTTTCAGACACGAGCACTGATAGTGTTTGTCTTGGCCACTATGAAACTTGGTTCAAATTGCTCCTGCAAATTAAAGTACTAAACCTTTGATAAAACTAGTGTCATTAGTGAAGGGGGCTTACCTGCTTTATGACACTGGGTAACCTCTGAAATAGGAAGCTTCCCTACCAGTTAGTACTCTAAGAACACAACATACCTACAAACCTCTGAATTGTGATACTGCTGTCTAAGCCCTTGTCATTAAACCCTTAATTTGTGGGAATTCAGTGGAAAGAGAAATGCGTCTTCTAAACCTGTCATCTGGGTATTTTAAACAGATTTTTTGTGATAAACAAGTGTTTATAGACTACGAAAGATTAAGAGTTAATCCTGTGCTAAACGCTGTCTTTAAAAAATGAGGCTGATATTGATTACACAAATATCAGCATTTTGTTTTCTGACTGTCCCAAGTTCAGAGCCTCAGTGTAAATAATACTTCTCAGGTGGGATTGATAAAGTTCATATTGCAGGTAGCCTTGGCTTGGCAGTATTCTGACATTCATAATACAAGGCAGGAGATGCTTTTGCCCTACTAAAAAAAGTTACATTTGAATGGATAATTTTTTCAAGCAAAAGTATGTTATGATCCCTGACCAAGAAACTTTTGCAGATGATAATAATGAAATGCCTTTGATTTGCTGAGTACAAGTGCTGCCTTCACCATACAAAAAAACACTATGAAGAGTAAATAAACAAATGCAGTTCAGTGTTATAGAGTTTCATTTCACCCTCAGAACATTTGCACCCATTAATTAGACTTGTAATGTCAAGTCCTTTAGTTCTGTCTGGTCCTGTGCTTACTAAAATGGCGCCATTATTAATTTATGAAGTGAAATAGTTTCATTTTTTCCAATGTTGGAGAGGGAACCAAGGGCCAATACATCCAAGGCAAGTGTTCTAACACTGAGCTACCCCACGGCCCTGGAGTTAAACACTTTTATCATTTGCTTCTCCTTGCAAACTTTGCATACTTCCTCGGATACCATGAAGCAAATTAAACAATGAATTTAAGTAAAAGTACTACTTTGAATTTACTTTTAGTCATCAATTTGCCTTATTTTAAAAGCTTATACTTGTCTTTTCTCTAACAGACTAGTAATATACATATGTTTTGATTAAATATTAGCAGAATCTTTAGATCATTAACCCCTCATCTGGTACAAGCAATTTCCAACATTCGCAGAGGAGAAAATAGCAGAAAAAAATACAATACTTTAAATTAGACTTTCTTACTTACCCCCACAGCTGAAGAGTCAATCAACAACTTCAGAGTCAATATTAAGAATAGTTAGTTTCCAAATCATATACGGATGAAAGGTTTCTTGGAATGACTTCAGAGATGACACTGAAGGAAGAAAGTAGATGCATCTACTCTGTAACTTACTATTCATCAAATATTGATAATTATTTATGGGGTGTAAATGCAGTTCTTTTAGTCTTCCAGAAATTCTTATACAGCAAAAATTATCATGTAATTGTGTATGTGTGCGTGTGTGTGTGTGTGTGTGTGTGTGTGTGTGTGTACATCCATGGTGGTGGAAGGGTAATTTGTACTGGATAAGCACAAGTGCCCTTTTGACCCCCATTAGGTAATACCCTGAGGAAAACCATAAAAATATTTCTCAGTATGCTCTTTGAGAATCTTTAAGAGTTTTCGTTCCTAATTCCAATGTTGGGGTCTTTCAGAGCCCACTTCGGATGTTTCACAATTTAAAAGATGTGGGATTTCTCCAGGTGAAAGTCATCAGAGCAGAAGGTTTGATGGCTGCTGATGTCACAGGTAAGAAATGATGCCATTTTCCCATTGCACATATCAAGCAATACACAAGTTCTAGCAATAGTCTGACTCCGTATTTTACCTAAGTGGATCATCAAGTAACTAATTAAAATATAAAGATTTGGGTTTGATTTTAACAAAGATGGGTGAACTCCCTGATTGTTATACCAGTTCTGCTTTTCTAGAGGCAGGATAATACATTGAAAATAAATAATGAAGAGCAAAACGTCTTCTGAACTGTTGGCATCCACAAAATGTAATCAGTATAGTGAGAGTAATTTTTCCAGGTACTGTCATTTTGGCATATTGAAGCAATGCTGAATCTACTTTCAGACCTCATCAGCTTCTTTGGTAGCATAAACTCCCACAATTCAAACATGCGTGAATTCTATTGCATGGTTCGTTGAAAAGTTTAGGTACATAATGATCAATAATTAGTGTGAACTGTTGCTATTGCAGTTACTGTTCCAATTACTTAATTGTCCAAATTCCTCAGCACATCCCAGAGATAACTCTAGATCCAAATTAAGCCTCTAGAATGTTTGAAACTTTTAAGCCAGGAAATAGGTTTATAAAAATGCCAGAATTAGTTTTGCCTCTTAAAGCTTTGGTATTGCTTCTTCTATAACATATAAGCAAACTATAATTATCATGGTTTTGAATTTACAAACAGGACCATTCATTTGCATTTAATATCATAAGGCTTTCAGGGATGTTTATATCATTCATTAAATTACCCACCACAAGGCAGACAGTAAATAAGACTAACTTGACTAGTTTTTGTGCAAATTTCACTATTCCGGAAAGATTCCTTGTACTATTTGTAGAAATATGCTTACCTTGTAAATTTTCAGTAAGATGACCCTAAAGATGTAACAGATTTACTCAAAGGAAAGAAATGTCCTTTTCCTACCATCCAAAATCACTGCAAATCACTGTCTCCTTTAATTCACTCCACAAGATCAAAATCAAATGAAAAGATCACTGCCATCCGGCTATAATAGCTGATGCTTCTCCGAAAGAGCAATATATTCAAGCTTAATGTGTTTAATGTTTGCATATTATGAAGTGACTGTGTTTTGTGTGATAAAATAAAAATATTGGAAGTTTAAAGTTTTTAAAGAGATAATTATCAACTCAATTCTAACCAAGAAGATAATAGCATGTGTCAATATTTTTTCAAAGAAATTATAACTAAAAATAGTAAAAGAGAGGGTAGTTTATATATGCTTAATCTCTTTGCATATGGTCAGACTTAGCTCCTTGTACTACACAATTAGTGGATGTTGTCTATTCATTTTTATAGATTTTTACATCTGGTGTGGTTATAATCAAATTAATCTGGGCAAAATAATTTCAAACAGAAAAATTCAAGTACCTTTACTTCAGAAGCTTAGCTACCTGCCCATTATTCAAGCTGAGTGCAATTGTATAAGTTTGTCTTCCTTGAGAAAGAGGCTGTCATTGATTTTAAAACTTCATGAATATGCAAAGTATGTTAACCTAGTTGGCCCGTATGCCACCATGGAAGTTAAAGTACATGTTCTTTCAAAGCTGGAAAAAATAGAGATATTTCTTTCTTAATGGGTCTATGTAAATTGATGTGAATAACCATAGCCTTTCCCTTAGGGATTCACTGAGACATAATTTTGATTTGATAAAATGAACATTAATTGGGGTGGGTACTAAATAACAGAGTCTCCATTTTTTTCCTTCCAGTTTTAGGGATATAAATCTAATGATTCTTCATTCCATGCTGACCTTATAATCTAATGGGCTCTGAATTGAACAAGAGAGATGTTGAACTATTCAGGGGCAAGTGGATAATACAGTCTTTGACCTTGCTCACTCTTGGACCTTTTGTGGTCTTTATGACATTTGTGACAGTGGTAAAATTTGAGGATGATGTATTTAAATCAGAAATGTCTGCGTACAGAACTAATTTTTAACATAATTTTTATTTCTGAAAAGAAGCATCAGAATATATATATCCTGATGCTTCCTTGTCTTTGTCAGTTCATTTGGGGGCATAAATGAAGCTCTTTACATACTTTATCTCTTATTCAATTCAAAGAAGAACTTTAAAGATACAGTACACATCTCAGTGGATAACCATAGCCAAGCTATTCACAATATGAAGCTGTAGTTTGAAAAGAAGGAGTTGAGTGAATTGTGCTGCCTTCAAATCTCCAAATATGCACCTCTTGAGGAGTGTTACGGATTGGAGGGGGAGATTTTAAATCATTGATAATTCTCTCTGTCCACACAAGAATACTTTGAGATACAGTACAAACAAAGCTGCTGTTACATTTGGTTTTACAATGCTTTTTTCTAGACAAGTCTAACAAAACAAACTTGTATTTGATCAACTTTCCATTTTCCAAATACTTTTAATGATCTGAACATCAGGTTAAACTTCCATTGTTTCAGGAAAAAAATTTAAATTTTAATATGCCCTCATTAAACATGAGAACAGCAGAGAACGATTCAGTAATCTTTTAAGTAGCCATCCATCTTACAACAGTTACAAAGAATTTTTCTCCTTTCAAAATGTAAAATTTTTCTTTTGTTACAACACATTCATTGAGAAACATTGTGATACTGTATTAACTCTGTGTGAATAAAGAGCGATTGAAACTCTCTTTGAATGAGTGAGTATAAAGCACAAATTACTTTTTAATGAAACCCTCAATTCTTTTCCCTTTCTACAAAAAGTCCACGGCCCTGTTCAGCTGAACACTACTACAGTAGGTCACTTCAGTTAAGCCCCTAATAAACTGTTGATAGTCGAGGGTAGTTTTTTCTTTGGTCTCAATAGCCCAGTGTTGGACAGTGCACTTCAAATCATTAAGGTTAATACAGATTTAAAAAAGAGATTAACTCTGGTGGTTAAGGCCTCAATTTACAACTCCCACACATACACATGCATTGAGCAAGGCACAAGAGTGGATTGAAATTTCAGTCAAATTGTGGGCAGCCTTTCACAGCCTGAGAAAGTGGCACTCGGGTTTGAAAAGTTGGTCCGCTAAATTCTTCATGAGGGGAAAAAGTTGGAGTCATTGAGAAATACCGCTCAATACAACTTACTTACCTTTCAGCTAACCAGTGAAAAGGTTAATGTCTTTCAGCGCCATCAAAGCAAAGCCTAGGTAGAGGCACGTCGCCCCTGTGTTCGCTGGGCCAGATTCTCTACACCGCTGAAACTGGACAGATTGTGAGGAAAGACAGCCCGAGGAGGGGGAAAGTTTTTTTAGTGATGGGAAATGGTTGTTGTAACTTGTTTTTTTTTTTTTTTTTTGTATCTTCTAATCATTCTTTGCCTCGAGCACAGCCTCATTGCTAGTCTTCTATACTGAGGGAGGCTTTCTTTGCTGAGTGTGTAGGCCTGGCCTGTTGGTTCTTTCAAGCCTAAGAGAAGAAAGAAAAAAGAGCTCCTCTCCTCAGCCCCTCCCCTTCATCTCCCCCTGGGTTGTGGTGTGTGGTTTTGGTTTTGGCTGTTGTCGTTGTTTTCTCCTGGGGAAGGGGTCGTAGCCTCCCCAGAGGACCAGCCACTCAGTTTCAGAAGTGCGAAGCCCTTCAAAAATGCCCTGCCTTTTTCAATGTAGTAAAAGGAACGTGAATATAAAACTCTTCCACCCCAGGTGAATTGATCCAGCAAATTAATGCACCATCTCTCTCAGGAAACAATGGAGGGCGAGGAAGGGAAGAAGCAAGAGAGAGAAAATTTTACAATTAACAGAGTCTATCCCTGAAATCGCCCCATTAAACTAGCATATGTTTTTTTTTCTAAAACAAGGCTAGGCATAAAACTGTGACTCACCAGCCCGGCAGTCTGGAAAGCAACTAGTTATTAAGAGAGATGTTTACTATCCCTTTATTTGCATAGACTTTTCCCATGTTTTCCTTTTGGAAAACTGTCTTCATTGTTGGAAAATATTGAAGTAACAAAACAGCAGAAAAAGACATGCTACAGTTTTTTTTTGTTGTTTTTTTTTTTCCTACCAGCTTCCGTGAGAGTCTTATTATCTTAAGAAATAACAGTTAGCAGCTCAGATTCATTAGCAGAGCTAAATTTAAGCCCCATTTGACAGGCTGCCTAGAAAACATTTTGTTTTGCTGTCTGTGGGCTTTAATTAAGATGTGTTCAATTTCAGTCCTCTTCAGTCTACCCCCCACCCCCAACTTGCTGTGTCACAGACCGGCGATCAGACACTTTTAGATGGTCCGGCCCATGACTTTGACCTTCTGCGCAGTCCGGCGTTCCCTGGGGAACCGTTCAACTCATGAGGTCTGATTTCACACTTCCAGGATGCCTCAGCTCTCTTAACAATGACAGGGAGACAAAGCCCTTTAGAGCGGGCCGCATGGGGACTTGTTTAAATTGGAAACCAGAGAGGAGTCAAGGAACAAGGTTAGGGGCTACAGAATGGTGCTTTTAATAAAGAGCTCACAGCTCTGGCTCGGCTCAAAGAGGTCTACCTCTGTACAATTAATTGAGCCATTTATCTGGAGCATCTTAAGCCTCTACTTTCTCACAGAACTGCGTGGTAAATATCAGCTAAGAAGCAAATGAGATATGCATGAAATGAATTTTAACACTTTGATTACTGTGCCTCCAGTCTTCATTAAAAGTAAATTTATTTGTATTTCTGACCTCATTATCGGTAGGCTGCCTGCATTTTTATTGGCTCCTGTGATTTCCAGCTTGAGTGTGTCATGGAGGTATATTTTACACAGAGATTGGGATTTATTATTCTTGGTATTTTCCCTGAACATTATGGGTCTATTCAGAGAAAGAAAATGAAAAGGCAGCTGTATAGAAGAAGCCAAGTCTGCTCTTGGAAAGTTTTATATGAAGTTGGAGAAATACCAAGTGTATGTGCATAACATAGACAAGATATTGTCCTTTAAAAAAATAACTTTTTGTGAATTCCTCTAGCAAATTGCATGAAATATATGCAGCTGTTGCTTCCAGTGGCCTGCAGAATGCAATTGCTCTATTT